CCCCACAGCAGCAGGCAGCCTCTCACCGGCTCCACGGAGATCCTGCGGTTCCTGTTGGGCGCCAGGTTTTTCCCRCACGCCCGCGGCGGCACCTGCGGGGGCATGGTCTTGCTCCGCGCCACCGGCTTGCCGCTGGATTCCTTCTCCAGGATATTCCTGCCCTCCTTCCATCCACGGGACGATTCCCGCAGCGCCTCGGACTCGTAGGTGGATTTGAGGTTGAGGCAGGCGATGGCGTCGAGTCCATAGGGATCCTGGCGGCAGATGCGGCGCCCCAGCAGCTTGTCCTGCGTCCCCGAGAAGGTGTTGATGTCTCGGGGATGGCCGCGACCCTCGGGGGACGGCGGGGAGCCCTTCCCGGAGCGCCGGTCACCCTCGGGAGAGCCCCAGGGTGGGGATGAGCCTTTCCCGGAGCGCCGGTCACCCTCGGGRGAGCCCCAAAGCGGCAGCCGCGGGGGCAGCGGTGGCGGGGAGAGTTTCTTGGGGGAGCCGCCGCCGTTGTGGGGTTCGGAGCCGTTGAGGGACTCCCCGAGGAGATCCCGCCCCGATCCCGGGAAGATGAACAGGTAATCCCCGGTGGGCGCTCGGGGACCCTCGGGGACAGCGGGGCCGTTGTTGTGGCAGAGCGCGGGGTCGGAGCCGGACAAACCCCGCGCCGCTTTGATGGCGCTGCGCTCCGAGGGGTCATCCCAGGAGATGAGCGGCCGCTCGCGGAGCTGCTCCCGCCGGGCTCGGCTCTCCTCCTTGTCCTGCCGGAGCCGCGATAAAGCGTCGTACTCCATCTGCAGCGCCTCGGCCAGCGCCAGCTCCTTGCGGCTCAGCCCCACCGACTCCAGCGCCGGCCAGTGCTCGCCGGGGCCCCGCGGGCCGGACATCGCCGCCGATGCTGCCGGGAGCCGGCGTCAGGAGAACGGCATGCTGCTGCGGCGGCTCTGGGGACGGGGAGGGTGAGGGGTTAACGGGTGGGGAGCTCGGGGATGTGTGGGATCGGGGAGGGTGAGGAGTTAACGGGTGGGGAGCTCACAGATCTCTATGGTCGGGGAAAGGTGAGGGATTAATGGGTGGGGAGCTCACAGGTCTCTGGGATCAGGGAAAAGTGAGGGAGAGCTCAGGGGTGTCTGGGATGGGGGAAAGTGATGGATTAACGGATGGGGAGCCTAGGGATATGTGGGAATGGGAAAGGTGAGAGATTAATGGATGGGCACATCAGGGATGTGTGGGAATGGGAAAAGTGAGGGATGAATGAATGGGGAGCCCGGGGGTGTCTGGGATCGGGGAAGGTGAGGGGTTAACGGGAGGGGAGCCCGGGGATGTGTGGGAATAGGGAAAGTGAGGCATTAATGGGTGGGCAGTTTAGGGATCTCTGGGATCAGGGAAATGTGAGGGATTAACGGACAGGGAGCTCGGGGATATCTGGGAATGGGAAAGTGAGGGATTAAGGGGTGGGAAGCTCAGGGATGTCTGGGGGAGCTCGGGGAAAGGTGAGGGAGAGCTCAGGGGTGTCTGGGATCGGGAAAAGTGATGGATTAATGGATGGGGAGCTCAGGGATTTCTGGGAATAGGGAAAGTGAGGCATTAATGGGTGGGCAGTTTAGGGATCTCTGGGAATAAGGAAAGTGAGGGATTAATGGATGGGGAGCCCAGGGATGTGTGGGAATGGGGAAAGTGAGGGATGAATGGACGGGGAGCTCGAGGATGTGTGGGAATGGGAAAGGTGAGGGGTTAAAGGATGGGGAGGTCGGGGTTGTCTGGGGGAGCTCGGGGATGTGTGGGAATAGGAAAAAGTGAAGGATTAATGGATGGGGAGCCAAGAGACGTGCAGGATTGAGGAAGGTGAGGGGTAAATGAGTGGGGAGCTCGGAGACGTGTGGGAATGGGGAAGGTGATGGATTAACAGGTGGGGAGCTCAGGGATCTCTGGGATTGGGGAAAGGTGAGGGATTAACTCATGGACAGTTTAGGGATCTCTGGGAATAAGGAAAGTGAGGGATTAATGGATGGGGAGTGCAGGGATGTGTGGAAATGGGGAAGGTGAGGGGTTAACGGGTGGGGAGCCCGGGGATGTGTGGGAATGGGAAAAGTAAGGGATTAATGGGTGGGGAGCCCAGGGATGTGTGGGAATGGGGAAAGTGAGGGAGAGCTCAGGGATGTCTGGGATTGGGGAAAGTGAGGGATTTATGGGTGGGCAGCTTGAGGATGTGTGAGAATGGGAAAGGTGAGGGATTAAAGGATGGGGAGCCAAGAGATGTGTGGGATCGGGGAAAGGTGAGGGGTTAATGGAGGGGGAGCTCGGGGATGTGTGGGAACGGGGAAGGTGAGGGGTTAACAGGTGGGCAGTTTAGGGATCTCTGGGAATAAGGAAAGTGAGGGATTAATGGGTGGGGAGCCCAGGGATGTGTGGGAATGGGGAAAGTGAGGGAGAGCTCAGGGATGTCTGGGATTGGGGAAAGTGAGGGATTTACGGGTGGGCAGCTTGGGGATGTGTGGGAATGGGAAAGGTGAGGGGTTAAAGGATGGGGAGGTCGGGGATGTCTGGGAGAGCTCGGGGATGTGTGGGAATGGGAAAAAGTGAGGGATTAATGGATGGGGAGCCAAGAGATGTGTGGGATCAGGGAAAGGTGAGGAGTTAATGGATGAGGAGCTCGGGGATGTGTGGGAATGGATTAGGTGAGGGGTTAACAGGTGGGCAGTTTAGGGATCTCTGGGAATAAGGAAAGTGACGGATTAATGGGTGGGGAGCCCAGGGATGTGTGGGAATAGGAAAAGGTGAGGGATGATAAGGGATGAATGGATTGAGAGCCCACAGATGTCTGGGAATAGGGAAAAGTGATGGATTAACAGGTGGGGAGCCTAGGGATGTGTGGGATCAGGAAAGTGAAAGATTAATGGATGGACACATCAGGGATGTGTGGGAATAGGGAAAGGTGATGGATTAATGGACAGGGAGCTCAGGGATCTCTGGGATCAAGGAAAGGTGAGGGATTAACGGATGAGCACCTCAGGGAACTCTGGGAATGGGAAGAAGTAAGGGATTAATGGATGGGCAGCTCAAGCATTTCTGGAAATGGGAAAGGTGAGGGAGAGCTCAGGGATGTCTGGGATTGGGAAAAGTGATGCATTAATGGATAGGGAGCGCAGTGACATGTGGGAATAAGAAAGGTGAGGAATTAATGGACAGGGAGTTTGGGGATTTCTGGGAATAGGGAAAGTGATGGATGAATGGATGGGCACATCAGATCTGTGTGGGGAAAAAAATCCTAAATCCCAAACCACCAGAGCCAGGAGAGGGCTGGCACCTCCCCCAACCCCATAAATGCCACCCAGACCCTTCCCACCCCCCGCAAGCCTGGGCTCGGCAGGACCAGATGGCCCCACAATTCCCAGAGGATTTGTCCCCTGGATTTGTCTGCCGGTCCAGGTGCCACAATTCCAGGAGGATTTGTCCCCCCTGGTCTGGGCACCACAATTCCCAGAGGATTTGCCCCCTGAATTTATCCCCTGGATTTGTCCCCTGCTTCGGGTGACACAATTCCCAGGGAATTTTTCCCCTGGATTTGTCCCCCCGTCCAGGCCCCACAATTCCCAGAGGATTTCTCCCCTGATTTTGTCCCCTGAATTTGTCCCCCCTGGATTTGGCCCCCTACTTTGGGCACCACAATTGCAGGAGGATTTTTCCCCCTGGTCTGGGCACCACAATTCCCAAAGGATTTTTTCCCCGGATTTTCCCCCTGCTCTGGGCATCACAATTCCCAGTGGATTTGTCCCCTGGATTTCTCCCCCTTGGATTTGTCCCCCGGTCCAGGCACCACAATTCCTGGAGAATTTTTCCCCTGGATTTGTCCCCCTTCGAGCGCCACAATTCCCGAAGGATTTGTCCCCCAGTCCAGGCCCCACAATTCCCGAAGGATTTGTCCCCTTCCCAGCACCAGCTCCAGGCGCCACAATTCCCAAAGGATTTGTCCCCCAGTCCAGGCCCCACAATTCCCAAAGGATTTGTCCCCTTCCCAGCACCAGCTCATCAAGGGAT